TTCCTGAGCAGTTAACTACCCATATTTAAGAGAGGAGGAGGAGGAGGAGGGTTGAGGGAGAAGGAAGGAGTAATCCCTTCTATTTTTGTCTGGAAAGTTATCCAAAAGCAATTGAGAGTGAAAGGGAAGGAGTAAACCCGAGGGCCTCAAAAAGAACCTCTCTTAAGCGAATGAAATGTTTGTTTGGCTAAAGCAGTATTTAAGAAAATTTGAATTTATATGCCCTAAGTGTGCACCACATCCTTGCAGCTTAGAGCTGTTGAAGCTTTTTGGTTTTTTTGAACTGCCCGGCCCCGCCCCTGAAAACATTTAAATTTAAGATGCCCAACCTAAGGGAACTCCCCACAGAATGTACTGAAGGAGATGCTGCTGGTGTTTAGGATGGGACCAGCCTTTGTCGTGCGGAACTGTCCCTGCTGATACATGCCCCACCCCTCCAGCCCCTACACACACACACACACACACACACACACACGTCCAAATGACTCTAAGGGGTATAGCACTATTCTTATGGAGAACTTCTAAACATAAAACCTTTGAGAAATAAAGCTGGAAGTCGCCTCTCCCTCTAACACATCTGACCCAAAGAAAACAGCTAAAAAAACCCACACAAACACTAACGCTCCTAAATCTCAAAACCTTCCAGATGTATATTCTATTATAAACTTGAAAACAAAGCTAATTTTGAAGCTGAATTATCAGCTCTCCAGTGTCGCTTCATTTCTATGTAATCCAATTAAGACTGTTCTCTATTACAAAGCTGTTCGGGACATCTGCATAAAATGATTTTGGATTGTTTAACCAAGACAAATTAAGTTTAAAAGTTTCATGTTCTAGAATGTTTTCCTGCAAATATCCATATTTACAAAGCATGCAAACATACATCTTACTTAACTATATTGGTCAAAATTGAGGAAATTTAGGCAGTTACAGGAATAGATAAATTGATAATGTTGACCATAAGCTATTTACACTTCTCATTTCAGATCTTCCTATGACCCAAGCACGTATCGGTCATCCTTTTTGCATCTCTTGGTGCCCCGTTGCTGTCTTCTTGGCCTGGCTGGTATCTGGGGTCCCCTTCCTTTGCTGGGGCTTTCCTTACCAGCAGGAAATCACGCTTTTTTGAGAAGATCAGTGCACTTACTCTGTGAGCGTGGTACTGAGCGGGATGATCCCGCACTATATCCTCGATGGATAATGAATCTGTGCTTGCCTCCTGGACACCAGCCTAATCCCCTGGCTACTAGGGAGGGGAGTTCTCAGATACCAGGTTTCCAGGTGGCCTCAGATTGCGTTGCCTACTTTCGGGCCCAACTACATACTAGCCATTGTGGACACTTCTCACTTTATCATTCACTGTTTGAGATGAGCACAGCTTCTTGATTTTTAAATCTTCTAGTGAATTAGAGGCTTCAGGAAAGGGAGCACCAGCACCAACCAAGACTCTGACCCCACTCCTGGCTGAGGGACTCTGACGACATAGGTCATGCTACCACACACACATGCACTGACTTACATTCTTGGCTTTCTGTCTTCCTTATGTGAGATGACGGCATAAGTCCTTTCTCTTACGCTCATCTCCTTAATGGTGAGAATATTCTAGGTCATCATCAAACCAAATTTGAAACTGAAATAGCATTGTTTTAAGAAAGGATAAATGCTACCTGTGTTTTTCCTGAGGTTCCCCTATAGTCCAGTGGACATAATATTTCTGATTTTGTGTGATCATAAATTCAGTCCAGTCATCACAGCCTCATAAAAGTTATCATCAAAAGCCATAAAGTGAAAGCAAGACATGATCTAGCCTTTTAACTCTGTAACCTTTGCAAATATTAACCCCTATATGTGTGTGACAGATTGGTGACCCTGAAATGTGACTGTGTGTGGTTGGCCCCTCTTCCATTCAAAACAGCTGAGCTAGTGGAATGCACCAGAGAACTGGAACACACAGTGCAGAGCTTGAACCTTCTCAGCTGAGTGCAGTTGTATGACCTTGAGCAAGTCATTGAAACTTCCTGACTCACTATGACCTTGCATGTGACTTAGGGATTATATTATCTACCTCACCAGGTGTCTATGAGGCATAAATGAGTTGCTATAAGAGACACTCAATGATCTCAAAGGGCAAAAACATTTCCTCCAAAGTGATCTAACAGATAGACCTGAAAGGTATGACTTGCAGGCCATGCAAGACCTAGGCAGGCTGCCCTCAGGTCCTTCTTGCCCCTTCCCTGCTCAGCATCACAGGAGTGCAGGGGTGGCAGGCTCTGAGTGTTCCAAGTCCCCCTGGCCTCTGGGTTCAACCCACAGAAGGCAGTGGATGGGAGTGTGAAGGAAGGGAGAAACCAGGATATTTCCCTCCTTTTCTGCTGCTGTGTAAGGCACCGCCTAGTCCTGCGGGGCCCACAGACAGCTTCCATCTGGAACTCCCCACCCCGCCCTCCATCCTGTGGGTGGTGGCCACTTTCTGTTGGTGTTAATATCTGGACTGCCTCACAGCTTTCAGATTCTTGGTATTTCCATCAATTATGGGCCAGTTCCCTGCATTAGAGTCTTTTTTGAATAAGTGGTTTCTGTTTTCCTTGTTTGATCTTGACTGATATTATCATTAGGAAGACCTGTCACCAAAAGAATTTTCCCAATACTGAGTGCACAATTAGAAAGTCATTTCATTGGCTACTTTTCCTTAAAGGGAGGAGTGGCATGTTTTTGTTATGGAATGCTGCATAACAGCATTTTCACAGTTCTTATGTTGTCCTCTCACCCACCCATCCAATCACCCATCCTCTGAACATTTTGTATCTATTGTGAGTTAGGAGTTGAGCTCAATGCTGGGCACACACAGATACACTAGGTACACGTGGATCAGACCAGGTGATGTCAAGATCACGCTCTCATGATCAGAACAGGGCGTATTTGTCTGGGAATCAGGAATGACAAGGTGGCATAGATGACTAGTGCTGTGTTTGGCAGTCAGTATCAATAAGAGAGCTCCCAGTCCTGTTTCCACTTCCTACCTCTCACCTAAATAATACTCTGAAGTAAGTAAAGTGGGTTGGGCAGAAAATATAGTCACCTCTCATAGCTATAGAACCAAAGGTCACAGTTGTTATCTGTCTAAGATGAGCAGGTAGTCAGTGGCAGAGTCTGCACCTGGTGGTCAGATCACATGACTTCTCTCATCATCTGGGCTGAGAAACTCGTGGTTATGTGGGGCCAGGGAGCAGAGCAGCAGAGAGGGCGGTGTGCGAGGAATGAGGAAACCCATCCTCTCCCCTCTCCCAGGTGCCCTGCTCTGCCCCACCCCGCCCCGCAGCTGTCAGGCACAGACACTCTGCACCTTTGGTCTGTGAGTGTCCACTGAGGGCCAGCACCTCAAGCACTGGGCTGGAGGAGTCCAACATGTGCTGTGCACATGTGAGGCACTCTGTTCACTTCTGCTGCAAATAGCCACAGAGGCGGGGTGACAGGCAGGGGACTGGAAAGGGTCTCGAGAAGCCTCCTGAGCCTCAGCTTCCTGTCTGGGAAAGGAAACTAGCACCTGGGTTGCACACCTCCCAGGGTTACTGCAAGACCAACTGAAACTTGGCTTTGAAGATGGCCTATGTCTGCTGTAATCCCGTTGCAAATCATCTGGGGTAGATGTACTCCAGGCATAACCCAGCCTGTGAGCTTTAGGTAATACCAGTCAGTTGTGGAGACAAAATAAACGACAAAACAGAACATAAGCAGCACACTGTAGGGAGAGAACTGGGCCACTATGTGGTCCTCCTGCCCCAAACGTTATTTTGTTCCAAATCTTTATCATAATTTCCATAACTGTGTGCATGCATAAAAACGGATAAAAGGGGGAAATCAGCAACGATAAGAGCTACCATTCAGCCGGGCTTTATTATGGGTTGGGTCGTCTCTGAGGCCTTTCCTGACCATCATCATTCTCACCATTTACAGATGAAGGCAACGCAGCACAGTGAGGTGAAGTAATTTCCTGTAGGCCACACAGCTGGTTAAGTCACCTGGTTCAGTGAAACACCTGTGAGCCAGCAATGTGCAAGCACTTTCTTACACGTTTCAAAGCCTACTGCAACCAGCACGCAAACCTGGTAAGTGACGTCTGCCTTTGAAGGAAGAGAGGTGTTAATTAAGAAATTATCTGCGTGCCTTTGACCGTCGTCACATCTTGCCACACAGCTGTGCCTTTAAACACCCGTCTGGCTGTTATGAAGGTTAGTCTTTGCTCCTTTTCACTTTCTCTAAGCAAAGGTTATTTGGTACATTAACTCAGGTGATTAGGGTAATGGTGCCTGAAAGCTAGTGAGCTCCCCGCCTTGTTACATATTTCCCCAGAGCTTCTGTGTAATACTAGAATGTTGACTTAAAAGAATTACTTTTGGTATTATTTTAAAGAAAAAAACCCGAAGATCCTGCAAAATGAAGAAAAGTGATGTGTCTGCAAAAACAGTAGCAGAGTTTTTTTTTTTTTTAATTGCCCCCAGGGGCTGTAATTTCACTGCTCACTTTGGCAAGCCTCCAGAGACAAGTCCAAGTGTTTAATCTCTTTCGATTTCTCTCTCTCTCTCTCTCTCTCTCCCTCCCTCTCTTTCCTCCTTCCCACCTTCCTCGCCCCAGGGCAGAGGGGAGGTGGGACAGGGGATCCGCTGCTCTGGGCCGGCGGAGCCCGCTTGTGGGCGCTGAGAGGGGCGGGCCGGGGCGCGGCCGAGCGGGGGCCGAGCCCGAGGAAGAGGAAGTCCGAGCCCAAGCGGCGGTGCGGGGCGCTCGGCGGCCGCCGGAGCCGGAGCCCGAGCCCGAGCCGGCGCTGCGCGGTCGCCCCTTCCCGGACGGAACCTGCGCGCGGCCCCCCGATGCGGGCCGCCCCTCTCCGGGTAAGCGCCGGCTTTCCTTCACATCCCGAGTCCTTTTCAAGCGATGGGACCGCTCGCCCGGAGCCCCGAGATTGGGAAGGAGCTCCCAAGTCAGCAGGTGGTGGCGGACGGAGCGTGATGCCGGGACCCCACTCCCTCCAGGGCGCTGCCTCCGGGGCCGGGGCAGACGGTGTCGGGGAGCGCCCCCGCCGCGGAGACCCGGGGTCCGCCGCTGCCCGCCGCCGCCTGGAGGGGGCGACCCACCGCCGCCGCCCGCCTCCGGGCTCCCAGCCGCAAGCCCCGGCACAGCCTGGACTTGGGGACCCGGCGCTCCGGACCCTGCACCCGCAGCTCCGGCGGCTGCAAGGTTGGCTCCTCCGAGAACCCCGAGCGCTACAAAGCCCAGTCCCGCCACGCAAACAGGACAGCCCCAAAACGGGGCCCGACCGCCGGCCACCTTGGGCAGCCCCCCAACACGGGTCCCGGCGCCCGGCCCCAGCACCAGCGAGCCGCGGCGGGGGTCGGAGGCCAGGGCTGCGGCGCATCGGGCTCGGAGAATCCGTGCCTTTGTGGCGCTGGCCTCGGTGGCCCAGCTCCGCGAATACGCCCGGGGCGGGGCCGGGCGGGGGGAGTAGAAAGCGGGGGCTCTTTTGTCACGAGGGTAAGAGGTAACACCTGGTCTCCCCTGGGACTCCGCCGACCTTTCTGGCTCCGGAGGAGCCGCCGGGGTCTGCGGAAGGCGCCGGCAGCCCGGCCCCCTTTGTGTGCTCTGATGGAGCTGGTTCTTAAGGTACGAGACGAACGAGGGTCCAGTTGGGGGAGGTCGTTGAGCCGTTAAGTTGTATCCCGTTCGTTGGAAACAATGAGGTGGGTGAGTTTTTAAAAATGCGCTGGCGAAGCCTTGTTTGCAGAGCCGGTATTTCATTACGTTCCGCTGCTCCGCGCTCCCTTTGTACCGCCCTCAGGTGGCCGCGGCTGCGGCGCAGGGTTTGGAAATCCCTGCGCGCCTCCCGGGGGAGGCGGTTTCCAGCGGGCGTTACAAAGGCCGCTGCCGCTCGCGGGGGCAGAGTCGGTTTGGGGGTTTCCCGACAGGTTGCACACGGAGCTACCTCGCGTTTCCTTTTTAAACCTGGTGGAGACCAGAAGGTTGTCTCTGGGTCAGATTTATCACCCCACAGAATTGCAGGCCCAGCAAGGTCGCATAACGCTGTGAAAATGGTTATCAAGTGTTAAAATCGGCATCTTCTGGTTTCTCGGTTTTCTGTAGCTGGCATGGTTTTAAAGAGTTTGTCAACACGGGACTTTGATTAAACTCTTGTTAAAACATTTCCAAACCCATCGCGTCGAGGAGTAAGAAAACATCATTGTAACTTGGGCCTTGACGCGTGAGACCCCAGCAAGCTCCTCCACCTCAGGTTCAGGTGGCCTGGGCTGCCTCCCTCCTAAGGTGGTTTACGTGAACCAGGTATTTTTTAAAGCTCCATGCTCACTCTACCCCACCCCCAATCCCGGGGCATTTATTTGTTCTACAGTAGCTTAGGACTTGGATACAAAAGTGATGGTTTGATATAAGACGCTCTGACTTTTTGTCCCACGTGAGGCCCTGTGTCTAAGCGCCCAAACCGCCTGAAGAAATAAATGTTTTTCCCCAGAGTTATCTCCTCTCCCTGGCTTTGTCCTCCACGTGGTGTCCCCAGCCGTCCCTTTATCACCTTCCTCTTCTCTCCGGGCGCAGCTGTGGGACCCTGCTGGTGACCACCCGGCGCAGTGAGAAACAGTTCTCTGCCAGAGCCTTGCCCCAACCCTGCTCTTCCTCCATCACCTCTTCCTGCCTGTCTCCATCTTTCCCCTGGGCACCAGCTTCCTTCCTTGCCTTGAATAGGAATGATTTTTACCAAATCCAAACTTCAGTGTTTCCGTGGGAAATTCAATCTGTACTTCAAAGAGTTTGAATGATCACTTGTTAACAAACCAATAGGAAGGAAGTGGCAATAGTTTTGCAAACCCCAAAATAACCTGTACTGTTTTGTCCCACCCGCTCCCACCCCGTTAAGGCCCTGAGTTTTTAAAGTGATTTTACTGAGACTTAATGATTCGTGGTTTGACACATAAATATGGGACATGCTGCTTCAGTGGCATTATGTCTGTTGAGCCCTTAATAAACTACAAGTAATTCCTGGGTCTATACTCTGATTCTTTATGGCTGCAGTCCACTTTTTGCCAGTTTCTCTCCCCTCCTGCCTTTCATTGCTGGTGGTTGGTCTTTCAAACAATTGTCATCTTTCAACCCCCTTCTGGGATGATTAGATCCGTGGAATGGTAAAGCTGGAATGTAGGGGCTAGGCTAACTCTTGGGTGATCTTAAAGATTTAGGAACGTGGTAGAGGTTAAGGCCAGCTGCTCTGGAAGTAGCTGACTTGTATGCAAAGTTTGTCTCTGCAGCATCCTAGCACAGAGACCTTGACCGCTGTAGGAAATGATGTAGGCTACATCATGTTAGAATCAGGAAAATGTAATAACCACAGTTGATTACTCTCTCTGGATTGTCCCACCTTTGCTCCTGTCTTCCTCCGTCATCGAGGAAATAACGGCCTTTCTCTCTGGAGTCAGGCTGAGCTCTGATGATGATTAATGAAATGATTCGAGGAGTTGGGCATGTAGTGTGTTTTGAAGGTGACTGTTGTTGATACACCCAGTCTCAGGAATGCGTGGTTCTGCTGGGGCTCGCGCAGCTCTCTGGTGGCAGAGCTGTGGCCTGACCTGGGTTCACTTCTCTTTCCTCTGAAATGCATGACCTAGAAATGATGGCAGCATGGAGGCATATTTTTAATGAAATGCAGTGGTTTACTCTTTAAGGGAAAAAAAGTCACTGTCTCTTTTGCCTCAGCAAAAACTGGTTTCTAAGGCAGAATGCTCATGTATTCAACTAGGAATGGTAATGGAAACATTTTCTGAGACAGGGACCCTAAGCAGTCTAGTCCTGGCATGTGGCAGGCTCCGAAATACAATGTTTCATTAGCCTGCATCAACCTGCTTTACAAAATGAAAAACTGACCCCAATCCAATCGGGCATTCAGAGCCACGGGTGTCTCTGCCAAGTAGATCTGACTGCAGAGCCAGCTTTCAAGTAATTAAGAGATGACTACATGTTCCTCTTTACATTGCTCACGCTGATGAAAGGCAACAGATGTTTAGCAAAGATGATAGAAATACAGCCTAACCATCCTAGCCAGGGGGCCCGGACTTATTGCAGAATAACCGGGCCACAGGTTATTCGGATGCTGCAGAACAGCCTCAGTCAGCCTGGCGGTTCCCATCCCAGGGATCAGGGGTTGACGGTATACTGCGTCTAGAATAGATGTCATTTCTGAGGCATGTTTGAGTATCTTTTTAATCTGTGTACACAAGTTCACCAAAAAATGTGTTTTTTCAATGAGATACAAGCCCAGTAAAAACTTTCAGGCCTAAACATCTTCTCTTGGTAAATATGGAATTATTGTTTGATGGATAATCGAAGTACGTTGAACTGATGGAACCGAAACTCCACAGCCCTTCTCTTCTTTCCGCCTTCCCCCATCATCTTGGTGGAAAGGCACCTTGAAGAGTGATAATGTCGGGCTAAGTTTGAAAAAGAGTCCAGCAATGCCCACTTGACGTGCTAACCTGATGGAGGGGTTTTCACGGTCTCTAAATAAGGGGGTTGTCTTGGTGAGTTCTCATCACTGGTGTGCCACAGAGTCTACAGAAGCCACTGGTCACCAGCGTCGGGAAGGCCCAACCAACCGTTACAGCATTTGGCCAAAAGCTAGCAAGTCCGAAGTGTAAGAAGGACATCTTTGTGAATATCCAAGACAAATTAAAAATGGGTGTGAGTTTAATAATGGCTAAAACTGTAGAATTCGTGTGAGAGGAATCACAAATCAATGAATCATCACACCGTGACGTTAACTCTAATTACTGAAGTGGTAGACAGATGTAGTTCTCTATGTGTCTGGTCACATCAAACACTTAAATGTCCTGGTCCGACTACCAGTGGGGGAGGATGGTAAATTCTAGGTCGGGGGCGGTAAACACTCCCCTGTAAATAACCAGATAGTGAGTATTTTAGGCTTTGTGTCTCTCTCGTATATTCTTTGTTTGCAACATGTGAAGAATGTAAAAACTAATCTTTGCTTGAGAGCCACACAGAACAGGCTGTGAGCTGGATTTGTCCAGGTCTGTTCTGAAGGAAACATTTTCTGTGTGTGATATCCTTCAGTATTTTCATGGAGACCCGAAATGACAAATTTCTTAGGCTATCTCTGAGCTGAAGTGATATATACGAACGTTAGAACCAAATCTCCTTTGTTACTCCTTTTTTTCCAGCTGGTTTTCTTTATTTTCTCTTTACATGGGGGTTAGGATTCTCTTTGGGACATAGCAGTCAGTTGATACAGGAATGGCAGTGCCCAATTGCAACATTCTTCCTTGAGTTGGATGCTGGAGAGGCTTTGCTGGGACGGAAGAAAGCCCACATTGACTTAGGTCATTGATGAAGGTCACACTGATCACAGGAAACAAAGGTCAGACCCCCGAGCATGGCACTCAGGTGCCTACTTTCCTTCCAGCTCCTCCCCTGTGTACCCTGTATCCCTGTCACCCAAGATCACTTGCAGAGCCCTCGGTGGACTGTGCTCACTTTCACCAGTGGAGGGGTCCTTCCGGACGACGTTTAAACCTCCATCTCTTCCTTGCAGCCTCTCCTCAACTTATTGGGAAAGATGGAGGCATCTCCACCTCCGTGTTAACACAGGACCTTATACATGAAGTGCTTAGAAAAAGAGGGGAATGTGATGGTTCAGAAGGTAAATAGTACCTTTTCAGAGGAGGGGAACAACTTTATCCCTCTCTGTAGCTTCTGGAGCTTGTTGTACCTCTTTGGACCAGTCCCAGAATTTAGCACTGAACTTTCCAGGGCTTGTGCGTGATACACAGTGTAACACAGGGCCTGTGTGTCTGGCTTTGAAGGTAGACCGAGCAGAGGCCTGGTCCTTACTTCTCTGCTTACCGGCTATAGGTTCCCCCATCTTCAGAGTTGCTGGGGTAAATGATTTTTTCCTCTCTAAAGCATTTTGTCCAGGGTCTGACATGCAGTCACTGCTCAATAAATGGTAACTTTTCTTCATTCCGGAGCCATTCATTGTGAGCTTACTATGCCCAGAATGATGCCTGATGCTATTCAAGAGATGTGGTCTCCATAGAGAGGTGATCAGCAAGGTGGGAGAATCAGGGTGACGATGGGGCCACCTTAGACCGATGCTTTGGGAAGCCACTCAGAAACAGCAGCCTTTGAACTACAATTTGAATGATATTGATGAGTTCCTATTT